GATCCGCTGGAGAGGGGGTGGGATGGCGAACATAGCCCTCGCTCCTCAGAAACTCCCTACCAAGGCAGGAGAGCCCGGACCGATGGGAAGGACAGATTCTTCCGCCCTGTCTGATGACATGCTCTGAACACTTCCTGGGTGGATGTAGATAGGATGGATTCATACACACGCACGTGCGCGCGCGCGCGCGCGCACACACACACACACACACACACACACACACACACACACTTATAGAAAAGATAAACCACGTGAAACAAAATAGCTTTGTAGGTTCAACTTCATAAAATGTCAAGTGTCTGAACTGGTGCGTTAGTAAAGTTCCAGAGTGGGCAGAAGCAGGCAGTGTAAATTTGGTTCATTCCTCTTTATCATACTCTATGCCTAAAATAATGCCAGACACAAGGTAGGTGCAGAAGAAATATGGGGGGGAGGGAGGAAAAAGTATTAGGTTCTGTGCCTCTGTGTAAATAGATTTCCTCCTGGCCTTTTTGGCCAAAGGCCTTGAGGAATAGCCTGGGGTGAGGGGTATGTGGTCCCTGGAACCCTGCTGTGACTAGTGTCCCCAGGGGGAAAGCATCTGTGCAGGGCCCCTTGGGTGGGGTGGGGTGTGTATGGGGGCCACTGTGTGCCAGACAAAGCTCTGTTTATATTCCCTTGCGGATTGGGGTTGTGTGAGGGGAACAGGAATGACCAGGACGGGACTAGATTCTCTCCACCAACATCAGTTAAATGGTAGCCTCAATTACTGAGCACATACTGTCTGCTAAGCCTTTTACCAGCCTGTGAGGTAGGTACCATTGCCTGCCTCCTTCTGCCCTTGAAGAAGCCGTGGTTAAGAGATGTTGATCATTGGCCCGAGACCACACAACTAGGGTATATAAGACTCAATCTGAACCATGTACGGACCAGGCCTTGGGACTGTAGTAATGCATAAGATAGAAAATGTTAGAGGGCGTTTTAAGAGGAAGATAATGTGTTTACCTAGAGCCGGGGGCAAAAGAAGTCTGTTTTAACCAGTGAAGGCTTCCAAAGAAAGGCTCCTTCCTGGGCCAGTGGGACCCCGTGGGAGGGTAAGAGGAGGAGGTGGGTGAGAAGAGGGTATCTGATGTGGCCTTGGGGGAGCACAGGAGCAAGTGAGTGGCCATCACGAAGGAGGGTACCATGGGCTGTATCCAACTCCTGCTCTTTGGGATGCAAAGTGAGGCAGGTGTGGGTCAGAGAGCTGAGAACTAGGTCCAGTCTTGCCGCGAACGGTTGCCTCTGTCTGCATAGTCACTGAAATAACCGACCCAGACAGGCCCTTCGGCTACATAACATTTCCACCTCTGCACATGGTTTCCTTGGCTGCCATGCTTTCCCTGGGCTCCCGTAATAGGTCCTTCTAGAAGGGTAAGCCCAGGGCCGTACTTACCTACAGCCTGATTTCATTCTGGTCCATGTATGGGGCTCACATCCGTCTCTTCCCTTCTCCCTGTACAAAGATACCAGTCAGTGTTAATGCTGCACTGGAGGAGTCCCCATCCATGGTCATGGGGAGGCACAAGCAAGTAGAGACTGAATCCCTGTGCTCACAGAGCTCACAGACTCACTTCAGACAAGATGTGCTTAAAAAGCCAGAAGATGGCTGGAAAATACTCATAAAATAACCTATCCACATAGCATCCTGTATGAGGCAGTATGTATAATGGGCAGAGCAAGGAGTTTGGAGCAAGCTAGTACCGGGTTCAAATCCCATGTCCACAGCTTAATAGCTGTGAGTCCTTGGAAAAGTAGGTTTACTTCTCTGAAGCTCAGCTTCCTCATCTATAACACAAGGATAAAGCCTCTCCTGTAGGGTTGTGTGCAACTGAGCAAGATGTTTTGTATCTGTTTCCTTCTCTCTAAAATGAGGACGAGAATATGTAACTGGCATTGTAGTTGTGGGAATCAGCGACGTTGTAACGAAGCATTCAGGACACAGTAGGATTTCAGGAAGCAACCTTATTGCTCCAGGTAGGTAAGTGAGTACTGAGAGCGCAGCAGAGGAAAGGAGGGATCCACTTGTAAAAGGAATCAGGGATTCTCTTATCATCTGGAGACCCGTCCACTTGTCTCCGGCTGCTGCACCAACTGACCCATGGCTGTTGATTGATGGTCCCTCTTGCAGTCACATCCAGCCCTTCCCCACCTTCCATAAGCCTCCTGGTACCCGCCACGCTGCTGCCCTGTTGACCTGTTTCTCCTCTCTCTCCGCAGCACTCTCAATAACAACAACATTAGCCGCATCCTGGTCACCAGCTTCAACCACATGCCGAAGATTCGAACCTTGTGAGTAAAGGTCCCCAGCTTCCGCCCCCACCTGCTCCCCACCTTATGCAGCTTCAGAGCAGCACTCTCAGCTGCTTGTAAAACCTCACCCTTGGTTCCTACATCCAAACACCTCCTCCCTCTGCTGCTGACTAAGGGGTGTTGGTGAGCGAGGGCAGATGTGGGGAAGGGTCACGGATCCATCCATGGTTCTGAACCACCATCCTGCTTCAGGCCAACTCAATTCTCTTCACCCCAGGAATCTCCCTGGACTGGGGAAATCTTCTTTGTGTTTTCCACCTGGATGGAAAAGTTTATTAGTGTTACATCGTCACAGAACTTTTAGAACAGGGATGTGATGATTCATCATTTGTTTAGTTCATGTCCTGTACCACTGGCAGTTCTATCCTACTGCCAAAGGCTACAGTTGTTTCCCGCTCTGGGAACAGTAGAGGAGGGGGAGTCTTAGCTACCCCTTCACCCCAGCCTGCCACCCGCCACACACCACACTTTCCTGCTCCCTGGATGATATTCTGGTATCAGAATGCAGTAACTCCGTTCTTTATCTTTCATGTGTTGGGTGGGCTCAAGCCTTCCAGAATGTGTACTCAGGAAGCAAATCTCCCCACGGCGCCCCATACCGAGAGCAGGTCTAGTGCCTTTGTTACCTGGGAAGTTCTCCTCTCTCAGCCAGAAATCCTTTTTCAGTTCCTCTGCAAATGTACTCTGCTGGCCTTTCCAAAGAGGTTCATACTTGATGTTTTTCTTGTGTTGGTGGAGCCTCAATGGAGTTTATATCGCAGCAGTAGGGGAGAGTCAGCCCCCAAGGGTAAAGTGCCTGGCACATAGTAGACAATAAATGGTATTTATAGTTATATTATTATTATCATCATCGTACTATTTATCCGGAAATCTGGATTAAAAATACCAAGCAACCAGCTTCTCTATGGCCCCTGAGCAACATTGCATCCAAGCAGATGTGAAAATCCTTAGAGCAGTGGTTCCCAAAGTGGGGGTCCCTAGACCAGTAGTGTCAGCATCACCTGGAACTTGTTGAAAAGCAAAATTGCAGGTCCCACCTCAGACCCATGGAATCAGATGGACCCAGCCATCTGTTTTAAACAAGCCCTCCAGGAGATCTCAATACTTGTAAGGTTTGAGACCCCTGCATTAGTGAGAAGGTGACCTTATCTCAGGTAAGAATGAAGCAAAGATCAATGAAGCAATTGATGAGGAGATGATACAGAGAACCCTCAGAAGGACACAGAGTTGGGAGTCAGACAGACCTGAGGTTAAATACGAGTTCCGCCACTTACTCTGGGCAAGTTGCTTCATCTCTCTGTTCTTCATAGATAGTGAATTCATAAGTGCTTGCCTCAAAGTTATGGTGGGAATGACATGTACTAACATGTAAAGCGCCTGGTCATGGTGTCCACACAGCAAATACTAGTTATTATATAGAAGGAGGACACAAGCTCAGCTTCCATCATTGGGCCCATTTCTTCCTCTGATCCCTCATGGGGTAGCAGAATTCAGCCAAGAAAATCTATCTTCTTCCTTTCCTTTTTTTTTTTTTTTTTTGCGGTACGCGGGCCTCTCACTGCTGCGGCCTCTCCCATTGCGCAGCACAGGCTCCGGACGCGCAGGCTCAGCGGCCACGGCTCACGGGCCCAGCCGCTCCGCGGCATGGGGGATCCTCCCGGACCGGGGCACGAACACGTGTCCCCTGCATCGGCAGGCGGACCCTCAACCACTGCGCCACCAGGGAAGCCCCTTCCTTTCCTTTTAAAAGAGGATGGTGGGACTTCCCAGGCAGTCCAGTGGTTAAAACGCCATACTCCCAATGCAGGGGGCACGGGTTCGATCCCAGGTCGGGGAACTAAGATCCCACATCCTACATGCTGCATGGTGCGGCCTAGGTAGATAGATAGAGAGATAGATTGATTGACTAATTAAAGGGAATGGTGCAGGAGAAATCACTGGGTCCTCAGGGTGCTGGGCCCGCATCTCCCCAGGCGAGTGGGTTGAATAGAAGAAATACAGCTCTCACCTGCGCAACCAGCAGTCCAGCTCCTGTGGGCTGCTGCTTTGTGATTTCTACCTCCCCTCCTGTTATTTTCAGTTGAAAAGCATCAATAAGAGAGCAGGGAGGGGTCCACGGGAGGCAGGGGAGATGGTGAGGTCTGGATCTTTGTTGGGTTGTTGTAAGGGTGGGGGAAGAGGGTAGGAGAGTTTTTTCTCCTTGTTTCTGCTGTCATACTTCCCTGTGGTCCTGAACACTCATCTGATGAGTTCAGATCAATCCATCAATCTCGTCTGTTCTCTTTGCTCCCTGCCTGCTGCCATTTTCTCTTTAGCTTAATTTCAGAGATGGCGCTGTAGAGAACTCCCCAGAGACTTGAGCTGACTAATCCCCCTTCACTGTAATTAAAGTGTGGTGGTGAGGGGGGAGCGCTGGTGGTGGAGAAAGGGGGAAGAGGAGAGAGGAAGGAAGTCGTAAATGGGATTTCTAAAGGAAAGCTTTTATATTGAATTCAGAAAGCCACATTTTATAGAAAATGAATGCTGACCCTCTCTAAAAGGATTTGCTGGAAATTTAATTTAGCATCTGTGGCTAAAAGGCACCTTTTACAAATTGGCATTTGTATTCATTCACCTTATCTTCTGTAAAAGTGGTTTCGCCAACATGAAATATGGTGTTTCTGTCTGCAAAAGACCACAGAACAACTGACAGGAACCACCCAGCCGCCTTGATGCTTTGGTGGCTAAGAAATGACAGACTTGTACAGGCAGGGCCTTGGGCTGGGAAGAGCCTGAAGTCTGGAGCTAGTCTCCTCACAGTAAGAATAATAAGAGCAAACATTTCTTCGGTAGTTTACAGTGTCCCAGGCCTTGTGCTTAGCATTTTTCATGAATCATTTCAATCCTCACAATGGCCCAAGCAAGGAGGCACCATTAATATCCCCATTTTATAGATGATAACACTGAGGCCCAGGATTAGATTGCTGCCCAAGGTCAAAGTCGAAAAGCACAGAGCCTATGTCAGATTCTGGCACTATGACATCAGAACCTGAGCTTGTCCCGTTCAGTAGGAACAAAAGCAGAAGAGCATCAGGTGAGCTGAGGAAGGGGAGACCGGAGCTTCCACATGGCTGAAAGGCCACTGGAGGCCACCCTCCCTGTGTCATTGCCATCACAAAAGTTATTGAAAGTAATTAAGATAATGTCTCTTCTCACTCAAGAAAACTAGAAATACTCCTGGCAGTGTCTGGGCTCAAGTTTCAAGATCATCAAGATTCTTTTTCTTTTAACATTCGTATTTGGGATAACATTGCTCAATTTGATCTACGGAACATGATGTAAAAGGCAGCTTGAAAGACTCTGCCCAGCTCGACTCTCCAGCCCTTCTGCTGCGTAAAATTCCAAGAGGGGGAGATCTGAGCCTGTCCACTGTCCTGGGCTTTTGACAAGAGCCTTCACATGGCTTCAAAAGCAGTTTGGGTCACCTCTTTTCCATGGTCCTAATTACCAGAGGAGAAATTCCTACAGAAATGGACAAAGGGATAAGGGCCATCTGTAGCAAGGTTAAAAAAGGAAGTAACTTGGGCTTCCCTGGTGGCACAGTGGTTGAGAGTCCGCCTGCCGATGCAGGGGACACGGGTTCGTGCCCCGGTCCGGGAGGATCCCACGTGCCGCGGAGCGGCTGCGCCCGTGAGCCATGGCCGCTGAGCCTGCGCGTCCGGAGCCTGTGCTCCGCAAAGGAAAAAAAAAAAGGAGGGAGCTGGGGCTTCCCTGGTGGCGCAGTGGTTGAGAGTCCGCCTGCCGATACAGGGGACGCGGGTTCGTGCCCTGGTCCGGGCAAATCCCACATGCCGCGGAGCAACTAAGCCCAAGTGCGACAACTACTGAGCCTGCCCTCTGGAGCCCGTGTGCCACAACCCCTGAAGGCCACGCGCCTACAGCCCACAAAAAAAAAAAAAAAAAAAGGAGGTAGCTTGGGGCTGGCCAGTGGGGATTAAGGAACAACCAACCTAATATAAACTTCCAAAAGGGAAACCGCTGACATTTTGATTATCCCAGAAATTAATCAGCTCAGTGAGGATCTGACTTACCTAAACCTCATTTTTGTTGTTCCATTGATCTCTTACCTCTGACTGGAACTGATGGGAATTTGTTTGCATTGATCCGCCTTGTTTCCTTAGCTTCCATACCTCAGTGCCAAAGAGGGCAACTGCGTTTCCTAATAAAAGCCAAACTCATTAAAAGGCACACAAAAAAACTCTGGCACCTCAACCTGGGCATGCCACTGCAGCCTACCTCTGCTCTGCCTTGTCACTAAGAACTGACCCACTGTCACTTTTTTCCTAGACAGCCTTTACACCTGGTGGTGTATTCCTGGCCGCGCAATCATCTCTGTCTCCCTCTCTCTCTCTGTGTCTCTCAGCAGCTCACTGATGGGTCAGGAGACAGATCATTTTCCCTCACGCTGCAATTTCCCAAAAAGTCCCAATGCAGAAAAGGAATTCCCTCCTCCCCTTCATACTCTTTGGGAAAGAG